GGAAACACATTTTGAATGCACGCGGGCCTTTCCCTGAAATCTCCGTGGGCAAGCGCAAGGGTGGCTTTGGGCTCTTTGAGGCATGTTGGTTGTAAAGTTGCCCATCGCGCACGAAGAAGCACTGCGCGCGCGTTGGTGATGCGACGACCTGGTGCGCTATGGTATGCTGCGTGCTGGTGGGCGGATTCTGGTTGTGACCTGCTCTCTAAGCTCTGTCGGTCAGTTCTGCCATCGCTTGCTCTGCCTTTTTTTCTGACAGGCGAAGCCTACTCGCGCAGGACATACGAATAAACCATGATCCTGTCCAAGACTGGAGCTGCATGGCAGTGGGAAGCTGTAGTGGGAGATGTGGTGGTACAATGGGAACTGCATGGTGTTGGGAAGCTGCGGTGGCAACTGTGGTGGTCGCCAGGCAGCGGTGGGAACAGTGGTGGTAGCTGGGCTGCAATGGGATCTGTGGTGGTAGCGGGGGGTCAGTCAGAATTGTGGAGGTAGCGGGGCTGCAGCGGTAAGTGTGGTGGTAGCAGGGTTGCAATGGAAACTGCAGTCGAAAGGGGTTCAATGCGAGGCCGTTGGTGAAGACCCCGGCCACTCTTTTGAACGTCGACACCATCACCATCCGCCGAGCAGGATACCTGCGCTGCTGCGCTGGCACTGTGGCTGACGCTGGAAGGGACGATCTTCGAAATGGGTTCAGTTATTCGGAACGTTGAACCTCGAACTTCCAAGAAGAGGAGCAGCAGGGGGCCAACTGGAGCTGGAGCACTTAGCCCCTTGCAGAACACCGTGGGGCTTCAGGGGCCAACGTGGCCCAAGAGACCCGCGGTGCCAATGGCCTAGTTCCCTGGAGCGTGGGGCCCTTGTGGAGGCCACTGGGCTCGCTTCCTGTGAGTGATCTCTAAAATGGGCAGCGCGTCGCCCTGAGCCTTCCTACGTATGCTGTCGCCTTTTTCCCGTGCGAGCACTGGGCCCTTTTTGAAGCCGCTTGGCCCCTCCTAGCAAACCATGTCTTAGTCTGCTGGGCTCAGAGCGCCAGAGCGTCCAGGCGCCCCTCTGAGCCGGTTGTAAACTGGTCCGCTCTGGTTGTAAAGTGGCCCGTTCTGGTTGTAAAGTGGTCTGTTCTGGTTGTGAAGTGGGCCGTTCTGGTTGCAAAGTGGACGTTCTCGATGAAAAACCGTACTTTCCCATCCTATGTTGGTTGTAAAGTAACCCATCTGGTTGTAAAGTGGTCGTTCTGGTTGTAAAGAGACCGAATCTCCCCCTCGGTGGCCCCACCTGGGAGACTTGCCCGTCGGCGACCCCCTTTCGGGGACCCTTCCTCAGGGACCCCCTCCTCGGGGCCCCCCCTCCCTGACGACCCCTCAATGCCTCATCCTTGGACCCCCCCACCTCGGACCCCCCCACTCGGTGACCTCTCCCTCAGGGACCTCCCCTTCGGGGACCCCCCCTCGGGGACACGGTACCCCCCCCCCTCGGGGACCCTGACCCCCCACGGGGACCTTTCCTTCGAAACCCTCCCTCGGACCCCCCCTTCCTCCCTCAGTGACCCCCCCTCGGTGATCCCCCCCGTGACCCCCCCTCGGCGACCCCCTCGGTGACCGCCTCTCGGTGACCCCCCCTCGGAGACCCCCTCTCGGGGGCCCCTCTCGAGGACCCCACCTCCTTAACTCCCTCCTCGGGGACTCCCTTTCGGAGACTCCCCCTCGGTGACCCCGCCTTTGAACCCCCCATCGGGGCCCCCGCTCGGGGCCCCCTCCCTCGGGGCCCTCCCCTCGGGGATCCCCATCCCCGTCGGGTACCCCCCCCTCGGGGACCCTCCCTGAAAGAACCCGTACCCCCTCAACGACGACTACAACGGCGACAACGACGACGACGCGAAGCCGAGCCGGTCGACGGTCGACGGCGGCGCCGTGTTGCGCCAGGGCGGCGACGGCGGGGCTGCCTCCTCCTCCTCCTCCTCTTCTCCTCCTCCTCCTCCTCGCCTCCACCGCCTCCTCCCTGCTCGTGCTTCTCCTCTGGCCAAGGTGGTTCTGCGCGGGTACGCCCTAGGGGTAGGCCAACGGTAGCCCTAGGGGTCGGCCCTAGGCGTAGGCCTAGGGTAGCCTTAGGGGTAGGCACTAGGGGTAGACCTCGGATACCCTAGGGGTAGGCCCTAGGGGTAGGCCTGCAGCCCTACGGGTCGGCCTTAGGGGTAGACCTAGTGTGGCCCTAGGTGGAGGCCCTAAAGGTAGGCCTAGGGGTAGGCCCTAGGGGGTATGCCTAGGGTAGACCTTCCTTCCGGGGTCTTTGTTTGTAACCGTTTTGCGAATGGAGGGCGGTTCCTATCAACCGGTGGTTGTTTGTTTAGCCTTTTCCCATTCGTCTTGATGTTCGGTCTAGGATTGTCGGGACGCAACAGTCACGTTGATTCGTGGTGTTGTAGTCCCAAGACTTGTGTTTTCAAACCCTTTAGATCTTATCCGACGATTGTCTTCGAATAAGCCGCTTCCCACAATTAAAACCACCTTGTCGGCGGATGTAAAAAATTGTCCGCTTAACTTGTCCTCCTCGCCGTCGTCGTCGTCCTCGTTGTCGCCGTCACCGCTCCACCCTGTCCCTGTCCGTGGGCCCTCCTCGTCAAGAATTCCAGCCAAAGAGAAACCGAACAACGTCGTAATCGGGTCGAAGGGGAACCCCTTCCTTTCAATCCCCTCCCCGCCAGAAAAAGGGGGCGGGGTGGTCCCGCGGGTTCCAAATGAGGTCCAAGGATTGTGGGCCTCCCTCCGTGGGGGAACACCCCTCCCTGGGAGCAACTTTCCCCTTGCCTCCCGCCCGCCTAGGGCTCCCCCCATTCAGGGTCGGCGGCACTGGCGGCAAGGCCTTCACAATAATTTCGCGCAGGGGCACACGAAGAGGGAACTTGGAGGGAGGGTTATGTGCAACGTTGTTGATGCGTTTTGGGTTGACACTGGTCCTCCTTCTCCAGCACCTGCACATGCTCCTGCTCCTCTTCTCCTCCCGCCCGATGGGCTCCCCCAGCAGCTGGGGGCGCACGCGCACAGCGTAGCCCAACAGCCTGGCAAGACGCCCACAAAAGCTTGTCCAAATCTGCGTCTCCAGAAGCGCGGAGGGCGGCGGCGACTCGGCGCAGTTGGTGGCGGGGCGGCGCGGGCCACTCAGCAACGACAGGAAATTGTGAGGTCGTCTCGGGCTGAGCCCCGCCCCTTCGCGACGCGCGCTCGGGCGTAATGCCTTGCCTCTTGAAGTGGGAAGGCGCCTCGCACAGACTGTGGCCTGATATCTCTGGATACCGATTTCAGATTCCATGATAAAGTGGGGGGAACTTTTTGTGGGGGGTCTGATTGGAGGTGTCTTGGAGGGTGCCCAGGAGGTCTGGACAAAAGGCCGCCCGTTCATGGCTGCTTTCGGGGCGCTGGATAAGGAACCCTTTTTCGTTTGGGAGGGGTTCAGTGTTCCTAAGTTGTTTTGCAGTTTGCATCAGGTCATCCTCAGGTTTTTGATGAAAGATCGAAATCCACCTGATGGAAGAAAGGGGCCTCGTTCCTTGTTCAAGGTTCCCTGGGTCACCACCCCGACTGTAGTATGGGGGGGGCCTAAAACTGCCCGTCTGGGAGGGTTGTGACCCCCTCTCATTCGGGAGGTCCCGCCCTGCTGCTACTGCTCTCCCGGGTCGTCCACCTTGGAGGCCCCCTGGCGGGCGGGGCGCGCATGGCGCGTACTTTCCTGCATTCCAGGGCCCTATGTCTGTACATAGTGGTGGCAGAACGCCCATGCCAAGGGAGGCAAGGCACGAGAACTCCTTCCCTTTTCATGGTGAGAAACAACGAACAACACAGTCCTTCTGGAACCCTCGGTTCCTCGGTGCCCTTAGGTCTGGCGTGTCCTCCTACAAGCGACGTTTGGAAAAAATAATCGCCGATCCGGCGTGTGAACTACAAGGAGCCTCAGCAAGAGCTTCAGCTCTGAGCCTAAGCAAGAGCTTCAGCTCTGCTTGGGATGGTCGCCGGGGTGGCTCTGCCGGGGAAGGGGGGGAGGGGGGGGGGCCTCCACATGGCGTTTTCTTATTGATTTGCACCCCAGGACCCTCCCCTCGGAACCCTCCCCGGACCTCCCCCGGGGAGGGGGCGAAGGGGGGGAGGAGGGCGGTCCCCCATCTGGCAATTTCTTAATGATTTGCGCATTCTCAAAATGTTTCGGGGGTCCCAGGGACCCCCTTTCAGATCTAGCCGCTACCGCCCCCAGGACCCTCCCCTCAGAACCCTGCCCAGACCCCCCCCCTGGACCGCTCCAGGCACCTCCCCAGAGGGCACATCAGCTCCAAAAAGCGTCCCTGACAACTCCAAGAGCGCCCTCCCTCCCAAACAGCGTCCCCGACGACTCCAAGATCACCGAATCCAGAGCCCCCCGGATCGGCGGCACTGGCCGGAGGCCATTACAATAGAGAGAGAGAGAGAGATTCCTCAAACATACCCCACAAATAATCAAATCGTCCCCAGACTATTTTTTAAATATTTTTGAATATGCCTCCTGTAGGGGGACGTGCCAGACTGACGGTACCCCCATCACGACGCCCCCCCCTGATGCCTGCGCCTCGCCCCGCCCTCGACGAGCCCCAACAGCCAGGCCTCGCTCTTGCCACTCCCCGGCGCCTCGTCCACGTCTGCGCGACGAAGCCAGAACGAGGATACATTCGGGGGTGGACAAGTCGAGAATCTCTGAGATCCGATCCGATGGCTCCAGAAGGTGTATCGGGCGCCGCGGCCTTCTCGGAGCGTCCCCGAACGCTCTGAGAGCCTTCCGAAACGCTATGGAACGGATTCACCCTCGTGCTAACCTCGCCCGACTCTTCCTCCCCTTTTGACGCGTTTGATGCGATGCTACGCCCCCCCCTCCTCTAGATTGCTGCCATTGTTGCAGCAATACTCCCACACATCCGTGCCGATCCCGATGCCTCGTCTTCTTCACACGTGCATTATGATCGTAACCCCCCGCCGCGAAGCCTCCAACTGGGTACCGAGCTGCCAGATAAACAGCAGGGCCACTACCCAGTGACCGGCCAAACAGAATTATCTGGGAATACCGAACGCCGATCTCGTCAACGATGAAGCGCAGAGCAGTCAGGGCCACCTCGTACACTCCATCCTCCGATGCAGGCAGGTCCTGCAGTAAGCCATACCCGGGGTATTCCACCGACAGAACGTTGACTTTGAACTGGTCCCTCATGTGCTTCAGCACTGCGGGGGATGCTAGACTGTGGGAAATGGCGTGCACTCGTGATGTCAGTGCCCCTCAACGCTCGATCATGCATCATTTAGTAGGCAACTACTGGGAGGTTTCGTCGGAAGGATTGAAACAGAATTAGCCCCACTGGCGGGCTGTTACGCCAGAAACGGCCTCGGATTAAGCCGGATTAAGCGGGATCGAGCGGGATTCAGCCGGATTGAGCGGGATTCAGCCTGATTGAGCGGACCAGGGCAGAATCGGAAGACGACCTCCCAGGAGTGGCATCCGACCACCACGTGCCCTCACGAGAGGCCGGGCACGGGAGAGGTGAGAAGGCAGCTGCTGGCGGCGAGCCTTCCGAGCACGGCCTCCGCGTTACGCCCCACGAGTTGAGCAGGGACCGACCGTCCCAGCATTCCTATAGTTATATAGTCCTACCACGGAATGTTCTTACAACCCCAAAATGTTCTAAAAACACAAACCATGTTCTGAGAACATAAAACCCATGTGTTAAAACAAGACAATCTCCGCCAGAAATGCTCTCAGAACATTTCGTGGAATCCACAAAAAAGGTCCTTAGAACATCGTTTGGTAGGGCTACGGCTATAGGCGAGCCAGGACGCTTCGCCACGGCTTGAACGAGGCGCGCCGAGCCTTTGTGGGCCCCGGAAACGGCAGGGCCGTTTTTCCACCGTTTCCAAAGAAATGTCCCGTGAAAACGGAAACGGCAAAAAAACGGCGACCGGAAACGGCAACAAAAACGGCTCCAGGATTGGAACCGGAGCCGGAGCCGGTCAAAAAACGGCGACGGAACCCGTAAAGAAACGGCGTTGGAACCGGCAACAAAACGGCACAACGGAACCGGTAACAAAAACGGCCCTGTCGTTTCCAGGGCCCACTAAGCCCAGACCCCCGACGTCATGATTTTTTCATGACGCGACCCCCAAAGCTCCGGAAAGCTCCGGACCCATTCCCCGGGACCGGTTTTTCATCCCGAGTCGTTTTTGACGGCCCCGAGGGCCGGTAAGGGCCCCCAGGGGCTGAAAATAGCGACAAACCTCCCGTCGTGATTTTTTCACGACTCGAGGGGGTCTGTGAGCGCCGCGCCGAGGAGCGCAGAGGCTCCCTCTCTCCGGGCCGCGGCCTCGGCCTCGGCCACGGCCCCGGCGCCCCGACGCCTCGGCCCGGAGGGGCCCTCTGCGCAGCGCCTGGGCTGCACGGCAGGGGCCCGGCCACAAAAGAGAGACCTCCCGCGAGAGACCCAACCCTGATACCTAGGATGCTTTTTAAATATAGGAGGTTTTAACACATGACTAGTGCATGAATAGATGGATGCATGAACTCACCGCTGTTTTTTAAATACTAAATCCCTGCATTTGTAATACACGAGCCGCACGCGGAGCATGTATCAAAAACGGCACCGTAAGACCCCAGGACGCCCACCGATTCTTGGGCGGGGGAACGTCACGCTCCCCATGACAAGATCACCGGAACCCAAGACACCCGGGGCACCCTGGAGGCAAGCAGGGCGTTTCTTGGCATGGGTCTCCAGTGTATGGCAATAGCTCCATGAGGGGGCGGCGCGCGGGAAGAAACCTTGCGTGGCATCCTAACCCAGACCTCCGACGCGTGTCCGAGAAACTCCGACCCATTCCCCAAGAATATGAATTCGCCCCGGCCCGTCGTCTGCCCGTCAGGAGGCCCGAAAATGAAACTCAAGGCTCGAAATGGGAGAATAGCCGGGATTGAAGACACCAGTACCACTCCGCCACTCGCCATCGCTTGGACGTCCATTTCCCGTGCATGTTTCGATTTCGTCGTGCGCGTACTGTTTTGCAAGATGATCCACGATGCTGCTCGACGGTGCTCGCCGAGGAAAACATGCACACGTCCGAGCGATGCCAAAGCCGATGTCCACGCGGCGATCCACGACGACCTACGGATGCCGGCGCGCCCCCTTCTCCGTTCTGCGCGGTGGTGAGCTGGAACCAGGGCTGGACCTAAACGTTGTTTTTCGTTTTGTCTTCGTTATGTTGTTCGTTTTGTCTGCCTGTTTTCATGTACCTCCCTGCCGAAACGAAAAATGAAGCACAACCGAAGTCCATCAAAACAGCGTCTAAGTCCAGCCCTGGCTGGAACTCGGTCGGAATCCCACCGAATCATTATTCCCCGATGTCGCTCTTCCGTTTTCCCCCACAAACTTCGTGGGGTTCTGGCTTTCTCCTCAGCCGCGTGCAACACGCGCGAGGAGCACACCGCACCTGCTCGGTGAGCCCTCCCACCCACGCGGGGTCTGCGTTACCACGCGCACCTCCCCCTCTCATTCTCGTTCTCACCTTCACTCGCGCACGAACCATACGAAAACGAACATGCTGTTTGGCGCAGCACGACGCCCGCATGAGACACGCGCATACAACCGTACATGCATGATACACATACGCAAGACACGCAGACGCGGACCGCACACATACACACAACACACATTCAGCACGCATACACACCGCGTGGCATTTCCTTCCACAGGAGGTGCGCAAGGGGGTGGTCCCTCACCGCGGTCTCTATCCGTCTCAGGATCGCGGGGCGTAGCAAGCGTGGCATGTCTTCCACGCCATAACAGGTGTGCGCAAAGGGTGGTTCCCCTCACCGCGGTCTCCATCCGTCTCAGGGTCTCCTGATGGATTGCAGGGCCCGTTTCCGACAATCGCGCCTGTTATGGGTTGCCCACGCGCCCGTTGCAAAAAGCTGCGCCCGCGGCTGGCCGACACCCTGGTCGGAATTTCCCGGCTCCAGAGTGGACCCTCTCTCCAATCCGCGTCCGCTGGGCTCTGGGCACAATGCGTAGATAGGCATCACCACACCAGTGATCTTGCATGCTGCATCTGCCTTTCCCTCTCTCGCGCACAGTGGCCGCTGGCAAACCAGAAGGCAACGCGGGACTCGCACGCCATGGCAGATATGCTGCTTCAAGGAAAGTCTGGCTGGCGTGCCCTGGCCAAAGTCGTTGGAGAGGGCTTCACCCGTTGAGCCTGCCAAGATAGACGGTCAACAATGCACAATATTCCCCCTGGTCTCCTTGAAAGCACATGCCAAGGTCCTCCGCATTGGCGTGGAAAAACAGCAAGACCGTGGCCGC